GCGGCGGGGGGGGGGGGGGGGGGGGGGGGGGGCTGTGTTCTGCTCTGCTTGCTCGGGTCTCATCGGCTTCTCCTCCCCCTTCTTCCTCAAGTCACCACACCCAGGAAATCAGTCCTCCTGTCTTTCCCAAAAGGCTGGCAGCACATGTCTCATGACATGGTATTTACTGTGCTCTCCGGGGAGGAGCGTGTGGTGATGTCAGTAACGACTTGTGTACCACACAGCGTAAGGGACAGGCCCTCCAGCGTAGGCCGTGGCAGATCCTCCTGCCCAGTGAATGCCTTTCCATTCATCCCTCAGAAAGTCAGGGCCTGCCTTTATCTGTTAACTGGGAAACAGGGATGAAAGGGCTGGATTTAGACTCTCTTTCGCCCCCTCCTGCTGGACTCCTGGCCAGTAGGAAATAGAATCACAACAGATCCCACCAAATCCTCTTCCTGGATTCTCTGAAGGTGGCTTGGTTTTACTCTTTCCTAAAGTTGGGGACACATGCTGCTGATGTCCCGTGAACCTAGCTCAGGCTACAAATGGGAAGCCCGGTCCCCTGCCTTCCTTGGGCTGAAGGTGTTTGAAGCACGCGGTGCTGGGACAGCCACACGCAGAGAGCAGGTCTTGTTCTGGGCAGACCTGTCTGACCTCGTGAGAAGAAGCGTGGGTTATCCCGTGACACGCACATGACATCTAATCTTTCTGTCACCATCGAAGGTGTGATTTGCAAAAGACAGGCTGATGACAGCACCTCCCTTGTTCTGTGCATAGCACGTACATGCAGTGCTAGGATACTAACCCACGTGCGTGAAGAAGACGAACCACGGGCTCCCATTCTCGCTGTGCTCGGAGGACTTCGTGCCTCTTTCCACTTCAATGGGGACATTTCAGAGGTGAAACCGTCCCCGAGGCCCAGGAGCTGCCCCAGGGGACACGGAGCGGTGAGTCCCCTGGTCACAGGCCGCGATGCTGTCCCACGCGGAACAGGCTTGCTGCTCTCTGGTTTTCCACCTGAGTGTGCTTGCTTCCTGGACCTCGCGGCTTCCCGCCTCGGGGGGATGTTCTGATGCCAATTCCGGCAGATGGGCCTGCTTAGACTTGCCAGCTAGTCAGGAGGAGGGGCGGTTGAGGCTGGTGCCCATCAGTGCCGCGGAAATGAACTGGGGCAGAGATTCCAACCCCATAAGGCCACTTACAAATGAAAACTGTTTGTATACCATCTCCATGGCCCGTCAGCAAAACTCAAAGCTGCAGGCATCTTGGAAACAGATAGAATCTGGAATTTTGGAGCCTGGAGAGGCCTTAGGTGAGGTGGGAGGGAGCGAGGAGCGGTTACTAGGAAAAATTGGATATAGCCAGGCTCACCGGGATTTGATTCCAGTAGCTACGCTTGGAGCTGAGTAAGGACTAGTGGGCTGTTTAAACTCTCAGCACCCTCCCCTGTGAAATGTGGATAATAATACCTCTTGAAGGCTTGAATGAGATAGGTGAGTTGTCTGAGATAGTGCCTGACATACAGGGCATCAAGACATGTCTTTCATTTCCTTCATTAATAAATGAAGAAACAGATTTTGTAAAACCCCAATATTTTGCCTCGTCGGCATGGCTCAGTGGTTGAGCGTCCACCTCTGAGCTGGGAGGTCGTGGTTCGATTCCCAGTCAGGGCATATGCCTGGATTGCGGGCTCAGTCCCTGGTGTGGGGCCTGCAGGAAGCAGCCGATCAATGACTCCCTCATCATTGATGTTCCTATTAACTCCCCCTCCCTTCCTCTCTGAAATCAATAAAAATATACATATTTTAAAAGCACAGTATTTTGAACTTCCTGACTGAATGCGGGAGTCGGGCTAGTTATACGTGATTATTTCAGGTGCACAAGTTAACGCCCATGCTGCTCGTCGTGTCGATGCTTTGGTTTGAAAGTTTCACCACGTACACCACGTAACTTTAGACAGTCACGTGCACTTATGCCCATGAATTCAGTCTACCATTGTTTCAGCAAGAATTTCCTGTTACTTTTTACCGGGCACCTAGCAGCTGCTAAATACAGATGTGTTCATGAATGATTTTTTTCCCACAATGAGTTTTTGCCACGGCCTTGAGCCAGAATTATTAAAGATTCCACGTACTCTTTGGGCATAAATTCTCACCACCCGACTGAATACCTGTTCCTCTCACTCACGTGGGACGTAAGCGCCACAAGCTTACAGCCTGCCTCCTAATGAAGAAGTTCAGAAGCAAATGAGTGGGAGATCCTGGGGTTTGCCACTCGACTTCCTGTCTCCATCTCCACCTCTAAGCTCCTCTCTGAAGCAGCCTTCCTCCTCTCTCCGCCCCTCCCCCTCCCCACCCTCTGCTTTAGCAGCCTGATGG